CACCAGAACAGTAAGATACAGGACGACTGCTACAGCCAGCCATGTGGGGTGAGGATCTGGAGAGGAGAGCTGGAATTTGGCTGCAAATGGCCAGGCTGCATTTTCTACACACCTAGGTGTGGACACACACATTTAGAGAGCTAGGGAATTACAGCTTGGAAATTCTTTTTCAGGCCTGGATTTCTCCTCACTCTCAGGTCCATTCCCAGGCTGACAAGCTGACTACAGCTTCAGTTAGGGAGGCAGTCTCCCAGGGTGATAATATGGTGAAAAACAGAGTGGAATTAATAACAAAGATTAACACCTGGTGTCTTTCCCGTGGGATACATCCTGAGGTGCTGTCCCAAGGATGTTTTTCCCAATTGTCCAATGAACTCCTGTCCTGTCCTAGCTGCACGTAACACACTTTAAATACGGGCTGTGCGTACAATAAATTGGCCTTTTTCCCCCAAAGAGCTCCGTGTGTGTTGCTGTCATTTCTCTCTCTTTGCAGCGCAGTAATCACACCTAGGGATGTTTGGGGTTTGTAGTTACTTCCTCAGGCTGAGCCACAGCCACAGGTACAGGCCTGGGGAGGCAGCCCAGCAGGGCACAGGCACATTAGGGCCATCATGGAGAAACCTTCCAGCCCACCACTGCACATATGGTGCCTGGCAGGAGATGAGCTGGTGGATGTCAGGCTGCAGTGCCTGCTGGTCTCAGATGAATCAGGCCAGCAAAGTCCTGGTGTCATCCTGGCTCTGGTTCTCCTCCTGCTGCCCCTCTCCCACAGGCACAAAACCAGACCACCTTGCAGCTGTGCTGCCTTGTGCGTGACCAGGAGCGAGCCTCTCCGTACAGAGCTGTGCCTCGTGTGCTGCCAGCTCCTGAAAACCCAAGCACGAGCCACCTCCACGTGCTGCCAGTCATGGATGGGCAGCGTTAATGGTCATGTTTGCTCTGGCTGCTGCCAAGCACCTGCTTGTACAGGCAGGGCACCCTCCAGCAGCCCAGCACAGAGACAGGGAGAGGCGTTCTGCAGTGGTGGGGTGCCCGGTGAGCCAGGCTCTGCCATGCTGGTCGGGTCCTGCAGGCTGGGGCCAAGGTCACCCCCTGGGCAGATGGGAGACAGCAGCTCCACCCTTCCATGAGCCCTGGCCTGACCTCGGCTGGGTGTGTCTGGTCTCACCACCAGGCTGGGGTGGAGGTAAACACTGCAGAGCGGGGTGACAGGACTGAGAGCCCTCAAAGACTCTGTGGCATTTTAAACATCCTCCCCCAGACACTATGAGAGGCAAACTCCCGCTGTGTATACCTTGGCACTTTGCTGAAGGACCATGTCACCCTCCCCTGGAGCCAGCAGAGGAATTAGAATCGCAGTGACATTGGAGATGCGACTCCAAATTTGAGGAGAGGACAAGGGGAATGTTTTTCCTTTGCTCTTTGGGCACCATCCCAAGACCTTTGATACACAGAGGAGTTTTAAAATACCCACAATCTCTGGTAACCCCGTGCTTCTGGGTTATGTCATCTGGGTCCTGGCTGCAGGCCGGGTGTGAGTGTGGTGGCAGACGCAGCCAGACACAGCCTGGATCAAGCTTGGTGCTGGCACTGCTCTGGTGTGACTTGCAGCAGCACTGCACTGGCTGTGTCCAGCTCCACTCCAGGGATGGTGGCTCTGCTGCTCAGGACCTCCCCAGGTGGGTGAAGCACCCTGGCCCTCATTTCACCACAATGCTCTGCCCCATCACAGCAGCGAGACCTGCCACCCTGGCACAGGGATGCTGGGGACACGTGTGCCTGTCACTTTGCTCCTTGGATGGTGGCCTCCCCAAGCATCGCACTTTCCAAGGAGCTGACCTTAAGAAGAGCAAAGCACAGGCTGCCTTGAAGGTTCCTGCTCTCAGGCATTTCCACCCTGGTCCTGCCAGCCAAGCTCTCCCACCAGGAGGGTGGCTGTCACTGAGCCCAGCCACCACTGCCTTATAAGGACCCTTCACTGAAATTGTCCTTGAATCCCTCTGCTCTCTCAATATTGCACATGGAGATGAAACCCTGAAGAACCACCAAACCACCCCAGGCAGAAGATGCCCCTGCACCTTTTCCCACATGAAGCCCAGGTTTCTGCTTCTATGAAAGTCTCCTTCTCTCTGAAGGAGAGTTAGCTCCACCAAAATTTTCTCACCTTTTTTTGGATATTAAGGAAGAAGCCAAAAACTTATTTGCCTGACTTCTCCTTAACCCCCTTCCAAATATTTGAGTACCCGAGGATCCCAAAAATGGAGAGGCTGTGACCTATGATATAGTTGAGCACAAGAGGAAAAAGGGGCCCTAAGTCAGCACATAGCCCAAGAATAGAACTAGGGTTATCTGAAAAATGCACTAAATATAGACAAAATTGTTTTAGCCACTGCTGCAGCAGGGCCAGCCCAGTACGGGGCTCAGTGCCACTTGCAGACAGGACTTTAAAGATCCACAGTCCCAGGCAACATACTCAGAGCAGGTTAGTGTCATACCTCGGTTGTTTACAGCCGCACCTCACTCTGTCTCGGCTCTCAGGACACCCAAAGTGAGTGCCCAAGATTCCCATTCCCAGGGGTGCTCCCAGGGTGAGGAGGAGGCAGTAAGCCCAGCTCTGTACAACCCCAAGCACATGGAACTTCCCTAGAAGGTCTGCACTGGCTTTTGGAGGGCACAGCTACAGGTGGTCCTCCTGGGAGTGAGACCAACTAGAATCCCACAGACCCCAGAACTCTCAAATCACTCAGAACTTCACAACTGACTTTGCTGTTGGTTTAAGCCAGAGATGAAGGTGCAGGCAAGGGCTCCTTTCATCTGAGTCAGGTCATTCAGCTCCATTTACAGCACAGTAGGGAAACTTCCAGTTTTCTGGTACTTTACAGCCCTGTAAAAGCCTTGCCCTTCCTTCTGCCCTGCCCAATGTGTAATGGTGACCTGCTGCAGAAGCTTTCAGGAAGGGGAGTACAGGCCTGAGCCCACCAGCACCTGTCAGCCTGTACAACACTGCTGCCTCTGGCACTGTGCAGAGAGGATGTCCCCAGTGGGTGTCTCCTTGCCCAGGCTGGGACACTAAATCCAGGTCCAGGGGGGAATTTTTCCACCCGAAGCCTGCCGGACCCTCTGACCTGATAGGTCCACCTCTTCCCCATGTCCTGCTCATCAAGGTGTGCGAGTGACCACACCATCCTGACACACATGTTCCAAGGAGGACAGGCATGCTCCATGGGAGCAGAGGGGAGCACCAGTGGGCAGCAGGATGGAAGGAAGGGAATTTTGCCCATGTGATCTTGGGGCACTGGAAAACTGCTCTCCCAGGACATCTCCAGAGCTCTGGGTGGGCATCAAAATGGATCTATCAGCTCTGCATGCTTCTGGGATTTAGTGATTTTTGGTCACCAGCTCCTGGGATTTAAAAAATCCTCCCCTGAGAGTAAGAACCAACAAAGGTGGAAAGAAGCTCATAAAATGTGTCTTATAGGGTCAAGTCTTGCTATCTTTTTGAAATGAGATAGGAAAGTTTCCTTGAAAAAGGTCCAAGATCCTTTGATGTTCTCATGGCTCATTGCCTGCAGCCCGAGTGAGCCCTGGCAGCCTGGCATCCTCCTCTGCCAGTGCTGGCAGCAGATCCAAGGAACAGCCTCCCCTGCAGCAGTGGGGTCTCTTTTGGGAACTAAGGCACATCTGAAGTACGAGGCTGCCTTCCTCCCCTGATGCACAGAGATACATTTTATTTGTGGATTTTTAGGTAAATGCACACTTCCCCAGGCAGGTCTGATGCAGCCAGCTCTGAGCATGGAGCATGAGAATTGCTGCTGCGCCCCACGGTGCTGCTCTGAACTCGCATCAGCCCTTCCTGACCTCCAGCTGCAGCCACCCAGTTTCAGCCACTGAGGGAGCTGGTTTTGTAACACCAGAAACATAAACAGCCTCCAGGACCTGTGCCCAGATCTCCCCTGACGCCCCAGACTTTCTGAATAACTTCTTTCACAAAAACAGTGTCATAGCAGGGTGCAGATAAGCTCTGACAAACAGCGCCAGGCATTCCTGTCCTCACCTGTCCTTCATGGGACCGTGACACCCCATCATTAGAGCTGAGACCAGGAAGGGGCTGGAAGGCGAGGCCAGCACAGGGAATTGTCCCATGGGTGTGCAGGGCAGGGTGCTGGCTGGTGGGTGAGGAGAACCCATAACATGGGGAGGAACAGAATGGGGAAGTGCTGCTGTTGGTAATCCCAGAACCTTGTGGCCCCTGCGAGGCTTCTCCCTTCCCCTCCTGGGAGCAGAGTCACCACTGCAGGAGGGGCATTGGAGATGGAGGAGTAACAGCACTTTGTGAGCCTCAGAGCTGAGAATGCTCCAGCAGGAGTGGGTCACCATGCCCACCTGCCCATGACTGGGGAAGGCAGAGGGATGGGGGCAGAGCCTCCTCTGTGTGCCATTCTCTTCTCAAAGCTACAGAGCTGGATCCTGCCTGGATGAGGGCACCATGACCCACACCCAGCAAAGCATGTGCATGGCTGGAGACAGAGCCAGCTGGGATAAAGCCAGGCAGTACTGGGAATAACTCCCTTCACACCACTCCTCTCCTGCACCGCTACCTGGGCAGCAGCTCCAGCACTAGTGTGGGATTGTGCCTGTGTGCCCAGGGTGGGGTTTAACCCTAGGGAAGCTTTCCTGAGCAAGGACACCAGGGAGGTTGTTATGGCCTGACCCAAAATGAGGGAGATCAAAACATGGATCCAATGAGAGAAATCACTCCCATATACTTTGCCTAACTCCTGTCTCTGCATTAGCAACCCCATGTCCCTGCAACACCCTCCTAGGCAGCTCTGCTGCATGTCTTCCCAGGCAGGCATTATTCCCAGGAAATAAAATTCCTGTGAATTTTATTCCAATAACCTTTTTCCTGGTACTGTCCAAATTAAAGCAATGAGAGCAGAGCAGTAGCAGAAAGAACATGTCCAGGAGCAGTGCTGCTTTTCTGGCTACAAAGCTCTTACCTGGGAACCCTCACACATCTGGATGAAAGGCTCCCACAGAATTGCTTCTCCTGTGAACCCCATTTTGCCCTGGTCGGATAATCGGCGTGTTGTGTATAACTTGGGTCATTAAAACACCCCTTTTTTACTTCCTGCTCTTCTGCACCCAGAGGCCGCTGTCAAGGTGATGCAAGAGGCAGCTGTGATTGCAGCTGGGTGGCACCAGCTGCACCCTGCTCTCCTGCCCCGGTACACAGAGTGTTGTTCAAGGGGGGATTTAGTGAGCTGGTGTGAAGGTAAAGCTGGAGACAGAGGTTGGGAGTTGGGGGAGATGTGGAAAAGCACCAGAGAGACTAGAAGCTATTCTTTTGGTTACCAAAAAGTATTTCAGATGTGCCTAATTCAGCATCCCAAACTTTACAAATGGGATGGAGCCAGAACACTGGGGCTGGCATCAGTGGGGCTGGCTCAAGGAGTGGCCATTATAGAGGAGCACTCACAGATGTGCTTCTCTCTAGGAAGATCCTTCCAAAGGCAACAGGACTCCAACTGCCACCCTACAACCAGGCATCTAAAGGTGGAATTTCCATCGCCACCTCTTTCTGACAGAAATCTGAAGAAATACAAAGGTGAATCAATTTGACCATCCCATGGAGGGTAGTGCATCCCCTGCCCTGCTGCCCTGGGATCAGGCAGCAGGGGAGGAGAGTGACCAGGTCAGTGCCTGGGCCAGGGTCCCCTCCATGCTAATCCCCAGCAGTCCTGGTGGGTAGCACCGGCACAGCTGGGGCTATGCTGGGTTCACGTGGAAGCGAGGACCGCGTCCAGCACGCCTTCCCACTGCCGTGCAGGCAGCTGAGCCTGGGCGGGCACTGCCAAAAACACCGGGGATCACCCTGGGGACAAAACCCGGGGCAGACTGGCCTGAGCAATCTGGCCAGGCAAGTAGAGTCAGGGGCGGCAGGAAGCAGGAGAGACAGGTTTGGGAGAAGGACAGCACCTCCTCAGAGCTTCCTCCCAGCAGTTTGAGTGCAGCCTGGACCGGTCCTTCCACCTCCAGATCGCCTGGACGTGAGTAGCTGCCGTGGCATCGAACCGCCGTGACTGCCTGGGGAAAGCAGCAAAGCCAGGGGTGATGTGGGTGGCAGACAGAGCAGGGCATCTCCAGGGTCTGTCTGTCCTGCCTCCTGCCAACCCCGCCGGCACAGTCCTGACCTGCTGTTAGAGAAGGGGGGTGAGTCCGTGTGCAGGTAGGAGAGCGGGTGCCAGGATGGAGGGAGCAGTGCCCAGCTTGCACTCCCCCTCCCGTGTGCCCTGCACACCATCGTGGTTACCGTGCCAGATGTGGATGACCTCCGGAGGTGCTGGGGTGGCACCTACACAGTCTGGAATTACCTTCCAGCTGAGGAAGGCTGAGAGGCTCCATTCCCCTCCCCGCGCCCCAGAGTAGCTCCCTGTGAGAAAAGGAATGACCGTCACGGATAGAGGCAGGCAATGGGCGCACCCTAATGGGACAGGGTCCATCCCAGAGAACCAGGGCGCACCCCAAGAGCACAGGGTGAACCCCACTGTTCTCATTCTTCCCGAGGCAGGACACAGGGCAGAGGGAAGCCAGGAAAGGGCTGCAGCACAGAGCCCTGGGTGCAGGGATGCTCTGTTGTGGCAGCAACTGGGAGGACACAGTTTTCCAGATGCTGGCTAAACATCCCATTGCTTCCCCAGAGCTCAGACCCCCAACACTCTGGCCATGGGATGGGAGAGCATGGGGATGTGGCTGGCAGCTCAGGCAACGCGTGACAAGCACAGGGGAATGGTCCCTGGGGCAGCTGACAGCCGAGTCATGCACCACAGGGCAGGCAGGGTAGGGACTTCAAAGAGCGCAGTCCCACGGGACATAACAGGTGGGAAGTGACTCCTCTGGCAGAGCCCGTGTGAGTGCTGAGCACCCAGCAGCCATGCTGAGCATCCAGAGCAGGGACAGTCACAGCCTGGCAGGTGATGCCTCATGGAGGTTTCTGGCATGACTGCAAATGGCCCCAGGTTCATGCACGGGGAAGAAGAAACAGAGGTCACTGGCTGAGTCACTGGCAGGTCTGAGGTCTGAGTCCCCAGCTCCAACCACGGCTCCCCTCCAGCCCCACTCGCCAAAGCACTGCCCGACACCTCCTGCCACACCGCCGCACCTTGGCTGAATTTCTGCCCTCTCCCTGAGAATGCCTCTCCCCCTTCTTTTTCTCTTGACACCTCTACCTGTGCCAAGAGGCTCATCCCCACCAAACTGGTGCCAGGAGACCTCCAGGAGCACTTAGGGTTGGGGGACCTGTGCCCAGGCAGGGTCACCCTCAGCTCTGGCAGGAGTCAGCCCTCAGAGTTCGCCTGGCACAGAAGACGAAGCTGGGAGTTCTCTAATGGGATGACACACATCTGTCCCAGGCAACCTGGCATAGACACAGTGGTGCCAGCACCTCCTGCCCAGCTCAGCCAGCAGTCCAGGCTGGGCTGAGTTGACCCTCCCAGTTGGTTTGCTCATGGCCACTACCTCACACAGGGGCTTGAAGAGGGCAGAGATTTTTTTCTATAACCTTAAAAGCCTGGGAGCATCTGGTTGAGGCCTTGGGGTGAGGCAGGAACATCCTGAGCTACATCTGATGCCAGGGAACAAAACCTGTCTCTGTCCCTGCCCACGGGGTCCAGTGGAGCTTGTTCCACGAGATGGATGTTTGCTACCTTGGAGATTGTGCTGTGGGCTGGGGAAGCACAGCTGGGGAAGCCTGGCTTGTGCACCCTACAGCACAGGGAAGGGAGCTCCTCACAGCCCAGGAGCACCACACAGACCATGGTGCCAATGCCCCCAGGATCACCCATGCACCAGGGCTCTGACAGGTCAGGGTGGTGTGGGTAGAGGGAGGGACTATCCCGGCCAGACCCTGAGCTGCAAACTTCTTAATTAAGAAATTCAACATATTTTCAACCTGGAAGCAGCCCATCCCCCAAGTGGAAGAGGCAGAGTGGGCAAGGGAGAAGTCTCCAGTGAAGGACCATTTATGTGGGAATGTGGTTTTGGGGAGCCTGCCTTGCTCCTCATCCCCAGGGGGACAGAAACAGGGCAGAGAGTGGGGCTGGCTGTAGGGTGGCCAGCAGTGCTTTTGTGCAGTTTCACAGCAGGAGGGCCATGCCCGGGGATTTTCAAAGAGCAGCTCAGGGGTTAATACGTCCATGTGGTGTTCCAGCCAATGGCAGAGTAAAATGTTTAGGTTGGATATTGGGAAAATTTTCCTAATGGAAAGGATGGTCAGGAATTGGAACAGGCTTCACAGGGCAGTGGTGGACTCACCATCCCTAGAAGTGTTAAGAAAATGTGTAGATGTGGCACTTGGGGACACAGTTTAGTGGTGGACTTGGGTTAACAGTTGAACTGAATAATCTTAAGATGTCTTTTCCAATCTTAATGATTCTATGACTCTGTGTTGGACACCCTGCGCACCCTGGTGTATTTTTCGTGCAGAGTTCAAGACACCCTGGGCTGTGGACATGTTCTCCCCTTCGCACTGCGGGGGAAAAGCTGTGCTGTGCAGAGTTGCCATGGCCAAAACCCTGGGTTGAGGAGGGGATGGCACCGTGTGGGGATGACATTTGCTGTCCCTGCAGTCCACACATTTTTCCTCTTTTTCCAGGCCAGACCATTGCAAGCTGTGGGTTCCTCCATGCTGGGTGCACTGAGAGCTGTTGCCAGGCCTCAGGACTCTCATTTTCTAGTAACACTTATGACTCAGTCACTGGCTTGACTTGGTGACCTTTCCTTTTCTATGACCATCATCGACTCGTCTCTCCCAGAAAATGATCCTTGATTTTAATTACTAGGTCCCAAGCAGAGGGAACCATGGGATTAGGATTGAGGCTGGGCTCAGGATCTGAAGATTAATTCATATCTAACTTGGGGCAAGCATCTTCCACTCTCCCTACTTTTGTTTTCCTTTTGGAAAAGAAAACAGTCCCTTCCCCTTGCCTGTTTCAACAGAGCCTTCCTCTTGCTTTGTCAGTGCAATCTCCAGTAGTGCTAAAAATGACCATATTTGTAATGTCACAAATACTGTACAAAATGCTCTGTCAGACCCCACAGTGCCAACGAAATGCCATTAACAGGACATTTGGGTTAGCGTCAGTTGTAAGGTTTGATTAATAAGGGCATTTCTCAGTGGCTCCTTCCAGAGAAAATCATGAACTCACACCACTGTTCGGGTTGGACTTTAAATCCCATCCCATTCCACCTCTTGCCACGAGCAGGGACACCTTCTATTATCCCAGGCTGCTCCAAGCCTTATCCAACCTGGCCTTGGACACTTCCAGGGATCCAGGGGCAGCCCGTGCCAGGGCCTCACCATGCTCAAGATAAAAAAATCCTCTTTGCAACAGAAGTCCCTTCCCTGCAGGTATCTCTCTGCATGCAGGAAATGTCGTCTCCCCTGCAGAGCTGCCAGAGAGGCCAGGGCAGGGGCACAGTACAGCCCTTGCTCCCTGTGCAGCACAGGGGAGGCACAGGGACACGTGGGCCATTCATCCACAGGTGGGATTCCTGTGTCTATCCCAACTCCATTTCACAGATGTCCAGTCCCTGCCCCTGTCCCCACTGTCACAGTCTGGTAACCCTCAACAGTTCAACCCACTGAGAATGTGGAAAGACAATTTCAGGGCAAGCCATGCCTCCATTTTCCTCTACTCTGGCTTTACACATCCCCTCTTTGCCCCTTAGACTGGACTTGATCCCAGCTATTGCAGCTGAAACCCCAGGTGGACAGGGGAATCCTTCCAGCAACTGGTCTTCCAGCAAATGGACTTCCTGTGGGGAATTTCCAGGAACTAGTGGTGTCTCTGTAACACCAGTCAGTGCCCACAGAATTGAAGGATTAGGAAGAGGAGTACTTCTAGATGTCACCCAGGGTCACCAAATGGGATAAGTCACAAGTCTGCATTTCCAGGGGCTGATGTTGGCTTTGCTGCATTGATTTGGACCAGGACCAATATTTCCACAAGTTTGATTGATGTTTTGGGGAGAAGCTTGCCTGACTTTTATCATTTAGCTCATT